CACCCCCAGAGCGAGAACCCCCTCCAACACCAGCGGCACCCCCAGAAGCCGCAGGACGAACACCCTCCTCCACACCAGCACCCCCAGGGGCCGAGAGCAGCGGCGGCAGTGGCGGCAACGGCTGCGGCGGCGGCGACAGCGGCGACGGCTGTGGCAGCGACAGCGGCGGCGGCGGCGACGACAGCGGCGACGGCTGCGGCGGCGACGGCGACGGCGGCGGCAGCGGGGTCGGCGACTGCGACAGTGGGGGCGGAGGCACCGGGGAAGGGGGACGCGGCAAGGACGGACCGGGGGTACCACCAGAGTCAGCAGACTCCTCAACGGGGACAACCGACGGGAGGGGAGTGACGTGGGAGACACCAGACGGGGCAGGACGAGGCGGGAGAGGGGCATGGGCTACCGGGGGAGAGGGAGCAAGGAAAAGGGGGGGGGCAACTGGGAGACCTCGGTGAGGGAAGCGGCGGTAGAAGGAGACGGACTCATCAAAGGTGACGTCACGAGAGTGGAGGAAGCGGTGAGACGGCGGGTGGTAGAAAAGCCAGTCAGACGAGTCCAGGGGGAAACCGAGGAAGACACAGGGGACAGTGCGGGCAGTGAGCTTGTCCGTGCCAGAGGCACGAACGTGAGCAAGGCAGCCCCAGACGTGGAACGCAGACGCGTCACCGGGGGACCCGGTCCAAAGGAGGGTCGGCGAAACCTGCGGCCGCTGGGAGCGTGGCCACAGGTTAAGCTGGTGAGCCGCGTAGCGAACAGCGAACGGCCACAGAAAATGGGGGGCATCGGCATGGATCATGGAGGTACGGGCGACCTCCATGACCAAGCCGATGCGGCGCTCAGCAACCCCATTCTGCTGTGGCGAGTCCGGCAACGTGTACGACTGGGTGATGCCCTCCGCACGACAGAACTGTCCAAGCCGACCAGAGGCGAACTCGCCGCCACGGTCGGAGTGGAGACACAACACGGGGAGACCGCGGTGGAGACGCGCAGCCACAACCCACGGGAGAAGAACGTCGGGCACGTCGGCCTTCCGCTCCAGGGGAAACACCGTGGTGTAGCGCGTGTAGTCGTCGACAAGCACAAGGAAGTAGCGCTCACCGCGCGGTCCGGGGACGGGGGCAGGGCCCCAAACGTCCAAGTGCAGGGTCTGAAGGGGGGCAGTAGCAGGACGCAGCGAGGAGGAGTGAGGAGCACGGCGGAGCCGACCCTCGACGCAAGGCGTGCACGGTGGCGCAGTCGAGGGAGGAAGGGCAGGGAGCGACGCGGGGAGACCTAAGACAAGACCGTGCTGGGACATGTGACGCAGACGCGGGAGAGCAGGGTGACCTAAGCGGTGGTGCCAGAGAAGGGAGGGGTGAGTGAGGGACCGACACGAGCAAGCTGCAGCGACCTGGGAGGACGCACCAACCGGGGGGGAAGCGGTGTGTAGGGTAAACAGACCGGACACCGGGTCCCGGGGGAACGTCGCAAGGGGGGAACCTGAGACAGCCTCAGAACAGACAGCGAACCGCTCGTGCCCGGGGAACGTGGTGGTGACGCCGAGGTCCTGGAGACAGCCGACACCAACCAGGTTCCTGGAGAACGAGGGAACGTGGAGGCCAGTAAGGGAGCCCGAGGGAACTGCCGGACAGGGAAGGGACGTAGAACTGCGCGCGACGACCGGACCCGCAGAGGGGTCAGCGAGAGAGACAACAGCAGGTGCAGCAAGCGGCGTGAGCGTGGAACGGTCGCGGAAGAAGCAGGCAGAAGCACCAGAGTCGAGAGTGAAGGACAGCGACGCAGTGGCGGGGGCCGGGGACGGAGCCGGTGCAGCGACTAGACTAGGCAACCTAGGCAGTCCTACGCCTGTCGCAGCAGGGGAAGCTAAGCTACACAAGGGTGAAACACCTAAACTAGAGTACACAGGGTAGTAAGATCCATCAACACTAGAAGCGTCAGCATACAAAGCATGCAAAGCAGCACCTATCTGATCCATGTCTAACCCAAAGATCGGCAAGCCCTGGCGGAGCAGGCTGTGCCAGTCAGGGAAGTCCGGGGCCGGGCCAAAGCGACGACGAAAAAGATCGTCGAGGCGGCGGAAACAGCGGGCGGTCGGGTGCGGGCGGCGGCACAGAGTGCCGCGGAGAGGCCCGGTCTGAAGCTGGTACTGGCAGGTCACAGCACTGGAGCCGCTGGTAGACGCCAAGCTGCGCGGGCCGCCACCACGGCCACCGCCTCCGGAGGTGCCGGGCCAACCAGGCGGGAGACGAGCCCACGGCTGCGGCGGGTGCTGCTGGGACGGCGGCTGCGGCTGGGGCTGGTCCTGCTGCTGCTGGGACTGCTGCTCCTGCCCACCGGTGGTAGTCCCCTCAGGCGGACTACCGTCACCACCACCACGACCACTACCACCTGCGTCACCACCCCTACCTCCCTGGCGGCCACGGCCACCGCGACGCGAGCGCTGCTGCGGGTGGACAGCAGCAGCCGTCTCGGTAAGAGGGGTCGCCGTGGCGACCGCAGCCGAAACGTCAGTGAACGTGCACGGGGATGGGGCACAGCCGTGAAAGATAGAGACTGCCGGCGCACCGCTCGACTGAGCGATAGTGCGCTGGCGAGTCTCGATCTCAGTGAGGGTGTCGACAAAGGCGGTCAGGGTGAGGTCACCCGGGTGCTGGCTAAGAAAGTGGTCGCGAGCACTAGCGAGGCGGTCTGGCAGGCGCATAGCGATAAAATAGAGCGTCATGCAGAAAGGAGGGGGGAGCGCAGTGAGCTGGGCAGCAGTGCTGGCAGTGCGATAGCGAGTCTCTAGGGCACGCAAATGAGTGGCAAAATCTGCGACAGTAGGGAAGGCAGCCAGGTCTGGGAACAGCATCGGAAAGAGCAAGCGGCCAGCAGAAGCGGAGGCAGGGGTGGAATAGCGAGCAATAACGGCGTCTAAATAAGCTTTGGCCGTTTCAACAGTAGCAAAACGCGAGCGCTCAGACACAGGGAGGGCGTGACTAATAGCAACCTGAGCTCCTGCATCGCGTGAGTCCCAGATCGCACAGGCCAGCGCAGCAGTAGAGAAAGCCTCACGGTCATCAGAGGAGGGGTCAGCAGGGAGGGGAGTAGGTGCAGGGGGACGGGGGAGCAAGCCATCAGCATGGACAACCAGAGAGTGGCCATCCTGGCGCTGACCTGTAAGCTGGCGGCGAAGATCGGAGAGCCAGGCGGCGAAGTCAACCGCGTGGCCCTCAGCGTCCAGGCGGAGCACAAAGTCAGCCATCGTGCAGGGTCAGCGGCACAGCTCCTCAGCGACACAGCGGCACAGCAGCACAGCTCCTCAGCGGCACAGGAGCACAGCGGCGCGGGGACACGGCGGCAGCACTCTCCAGTAGGGCAGCAGCTAGGCGTCCCAGCGCAGGCAAGCAGAAGACACAGGGCCCGAGAGGACACGGCAGGCCGAGCACGGGAGGCGGGCAGGTGCTCTGGGGCCGGGCTGGTGCTGGGAGGGGCCAGGCTGGTGCTGCTGGGGCCGGTCGGGCACGAGGAGGGGCCGGGCAGCGCTGAGGAGAGGCCGGGCGGCGCTAGGAAGGGGCCGGGCGGCACTAGGAGGAGGCCGGGCGGCACTAGGAGGAGGCCGAGCGGCACTAGGAGGAGGCCAGGCGGGCGAGCGCTAACAGCAGGCGCGACAGGGGCCAGCGGGCGCGACGGGGCCTAAGGGGCGCGACGGGGCCTAAGCGGCGCGACGGGGCCCAGCGGGCACGACGGGGCCCAGGGGGGGCGCGACGGGGCCGAGGAGGCGCGACGGGGACCAGCGGGCACGACGGGGCCCAGGGGGGCCGCGACGGGGCCTAACGGGCGCGACGGGGCCCAGGGGGGGCGCGACGGGGCCTAGCAGGCGCGACGGGGCCTAGGAAGCGCGAAGGGGCCTAGCGGGCGCGACGGGGCCTAGGAGGGGCGCGACGGGGCCGAACGGGCGCGACGGGGCCCAGAGGGGGGGGACGCGACGGGGCTTAGGAGGCGCGACGATGCCTAGGAGGCACGACGGGGCTCAGCGGGCTCGACGGGGCCCATGGGGTTCGCGACGGGGCCTAGGAGGCGCAACGGGGCCCAGCGGGGGCGCGTTAGGGCCTAGGGGTCGCGACGGGACCCAGCGGGCGCGACGGGGCCTAGGGGGAGCGCGACGGGGCCTAGGAGGCGCGACGGGGCCCAGCGGGCACGACGGGGCCCAGGGGGGGCGCGACGGGGCCTAACGAGCGCGACGGGGCCCAGGGGGGGCGCGACGGGGCCTAGGGGGCGCGACGGGGCCTAGGAGGCGCGACGGGCGGAAGCGGTAGGCGGGGGGATCCTAACCTAAGCGTGATACCATGTTAACGTAGAAACGAATGATTACTAGAGGTGGAAACCTAGAACAAATACTAGTTGGTTGTACTCACTAGAAGCATACCTCAGTCTAGCCTATAACTTCTACATAGATAATATGTATAAGTTGACAGCTCCCCCTCCCCCTTCCCCACCCCTTCACCCCCATGTTTCACCCTTCTTAGTTTAATCTCCCTGAACTTAGTCAACCAAGATTGGTAGAAAACAGATTCGTGACGAATTGCGGGTGGGGGGCAATATTGGAAGATGGGCGGCAAAAGAATGGGGGGTGGGCAAATCTACTATTCAGGTCACAAATTACGACTTAGGCCCAGTTCGCTAGGGCCTTGTTCCCTGACAGTTTCACCCAAAAATCAGCGCCATCCAGGTGGCAATTTCATGAAGGGCCAATGCACGCCCTACGTAAGGAATTAGGAATTCCTTACTGAGGCTTGCTACAGGGCGTACGACTCGAACAGTCCCGAACCATCGCCAGGGTTCCAGACCTATCAGTTCGAGCCTCCTGGGCCTTTCCGGATCTCGCTACGACACATCGAGGCCCTTCAATACTTTTCCCGAACCTTCCGATCCTACGTCCACGATCACCCTAGGCTTTCTATATATTGTATTGTCTTTCATTTTATTGTCATTCACTCGTTCACAGTTTCGCCATTGCCCTCCGTGCTACTCGGCAGTCCCATTCATAACACCCTACAATGCGCAGCGTCATGCAAACAACAGCATTTTGCACTGTCTAAGACAGTATTTCGATTCTAACCTTATGTCGAAAACCAAAATTTTTATGGACCCTTACTATATGCAAGCCTACCAAAAAATTCTTGCCTTACAGGAATGAGTGCTTTGGGGGGGGGAGGCTGATGAAAATGAGTACTTCAATACCTATCCAGAGGCCTGGTCGCACAGCGCCTCGATTGTCTGTTCGGTTACCACTCTTGCAGTCGCAACGGTCGATCGCAACCTCCGGTTGCGACCCTTCGAGTCTCTTCGCCCTTTCGTATTCTTTCGTCCAACCTCCTCGTGTAACCTCTGTTGACTCGCGTACCCGATACGACTTTCCTCGAGTGTAGTGTTACACTTCAGAAACGCTTAAGTCTTCGAGGTATTTCCAACAGCCCTCTTGATTACTATTATAGCCACGGGCTTTAATAAAAACCAGCAGCTGTTGCTTCAACAGGTTGGAACATGACCCTTTACCCCTGTAAAACCGACCTGTGCAGTACGATAAACACGGTACATCTTCACTGCCTGTGCAGCAGCAGCCACGGGCACTGCTCCACAGCAGGGGCAGCCCCACACAGCAGACAGCGCGGCCGCACCACCACCACCACTGCCACCCCCCTCCCTCACCCCTCCGTGCTCCCCCACCCCCCACCTCACCTGCCCTTGCGGCTGCTGCCCCTGCAGCGGGCGCCAGGGGCAGTCTGTCCACCACGAAGGACGGCGCATGCGCTGCTCCCACCCACCGCCAGTCAAGAGAGGTCAACTGGGCTGCTAAGGGAGAGTCCAGCAAGGATGCCCCTCCTGCTGCGGAAGGTGATTCTGCCAGGACTGGCCCCCCGTCCGCCTGCTCCCCACTGGCACCTGTTACTTCACCAGCGCCCTGCCAATCGAACGCTGCCAGCACATCGTATCTGCAGCTCATGGGTCCATGCTCGCTGCACAGCTTCCAGGTATCTTCCTCTTGGTGCTGCTGCGGAGTGGTATGGCTTCCACTGTCACAGTCCGTACCGCCATCGTCTGTTACCCAGTTGAGCACCGCGCTCAAGAAACACGCTTCATTCCCCCCATCCACCCCCTTCTCGTCCCCGTCCCTGGAGCCACCCTTCTGCTCAACCTCTAAACTTCCTTCTATCCCATCCCTGCCCTCCTCCACTTCTGTCCGTGCCTCCCCTTCTCTGCCCCCCATCCCCTCTCCACCCGAACTCTTCCCCTTCCCCTGCACCCACCACACCTGCTCAGCACACAAGCCCTTCACCTTCCACCGAGCCAGGCACGCAGGTTCGGGCTCTGCTGCCACGCGCACATGCCCCACCGCTGTTGCTGCTGCTGGGGGCAGCACAGCAGGGAGAAAGCACGGCAGGGCAGCATGGGCAGGGGATTCCTCTGCTGCAGCTGGTGCCTCTGTAGATTCTGGGCTTGACGCCCCTGGACCCGCTGCATCTGATGCTGCTGGGGATATGCCAACAGGTGCTGCTGTGGGCTGGCCAGTACCTGTGCCAGTTGCTTTTTCACCATCACCATCACCATCACCACCCCTGGTAATTATAGGAGATGTGAGCGAGGTACTTGCAAGCCATGCCGCCTTGCATACATCCATGAGCCAATCAGCCGTGCCCGTGTCTCCCCCAGTAAGCAGCAGCTCCTTAGCCATGCTGACCTGTGGTGTGTGCTCGCACCCTCTGTCTCCTGCTGCATCACCAGCAGGCAGGCCAGGCACAGGGGCATTTAGTGCAGCATGGCCCACTGCCACCAGCAGCACGTGCACACCTGTCAGCACGTGATTGGCCTCAAATGGCACCTGGTACTCCCTCACCTCCCACACTGCACTCCCCCCCCTTGCCTGCTCTCTTCCTGCCCCACACTCTGCCCCACTGTCACCTAGTTTGGTCGTGGGAGGGGTGAGATGGGAGGGAGATGGTCGGGTAACGGTGGGGAAGAGGCAGGTAGTGGGGGAGGGTGAAGGGGTGGAGAGGGACGGTGGGGCGAGGGAGTGAGGGTGGGACGATGGGTGGGAGGAGAGAGGAGTGGGAGAGAGCGGTGGGGGAGGGAGCAGCAGGATGGTGGAATGAGGGGGAAAGTGCGGAGCGGTGTGAGCGGGAGGAGTGGGGGTGGTGGGTGAGTGGTAGTGAGGAGGATGCCCAGGTACAGGGTGGAGTGAGAGGGCGAGACAGGTGATGAAGCCAGAGGCGGAAACCACCTGGTGGGGTCAGTGGGAGGGGAAAGGAAATGAGAGGGAGTGAGGGAGATGGAAGGAGTGATGTGGATGAGTTCTAGAGCAAGAGAGACAAGGCAAGAAACATGGTTGCATTCAAAGCGAGGGACTGAGACTGCATGTAGCAGTGAAGCTGCTTTCACGACTCACCCGAGCTCAAACGTGTATGCACACTCAACTACGCCTACACTTAACTCCTGCTCAATTCACACATGCATGTATGCACGCATCCACCCCACCCGCCACCCACCCACCCAACCGCCTGCTTGCCCCCCCCCCCCACCCATGCGCCCACTCACAGAGTACGACACGTGCAGAATGGTGTCCTGCTCCACATGCACACGTGGCCGAAACACATCCACCACACATGCTGACGTGGCGGGCCCTAGCTGCACACGTGGCAGGACCTGGTTGGCTGATGGATCAGGCACAAGAGAGGGGGAAGGAGAGGGGGAGAGGGAGAGGAGGAGAGCAGCGGAGCCTTCCCATGCCGTGCCTTGCCTGGTGGTGAGGAGGGAGGGGGTGGGGAGGGTGGGAAAAGGGGATGGTCATGGCAGTGTGCTTTCATGTGGTGGATATGCCACACCGATAAGACATGGCATGGGGTAAGAGCTAGAGCACCTTTGCTGAGGGAAGGCCAACGATAAGTGGTGCCACATGTACAGCATGGTACCACATGTACAGCATGGTACCACATGTACAGCATGATGCCACGTGTACAGCATGGAATGCATGGTGAGTGCGCGCATGTGCAGGCCTAGCATTGTAAGCTACTAGCATCGCCAAGCAGTGGGAGAACGAGGTGGGAGTGTACCAGAGAGAGCAGCGGACAGAGCACGGTGGACGGGGAGGGCGGGCGGAGAGCAAGGGTCGTGACGTGTGCATGTGCACTGGCTGGGGGGGGTGGGGGGGGAAGAGGACACGGGCAGGGGGAAGGAAGGGAAAGCAGTTTATAAGAAGGTAGACGCAGAGCAGGGAAGAGCAAGGGGTGTGTGTGCATGGAAAGACGAGGTGATGGAGCTCAAAGCCTGACAGGCTGGTGACATGTGCTCACAAGGGTATGTGCTACATACCACCAATCACATCACAATGCCTTCCCGTTCCCTTCCCCACTCCCCAGCCTCCATCCAACAGCCCCTTTCTCCAACCCCGTCCCCTAACACCCAGCCTCCCAAGTCCCCTCTCCCCTGGCCTCAGCCCTTGCTCCATGCAATACACGCTCCAGCCCCCCTCGCAGTGCCCCCTGACAGCCGCTCTGCACGCCTCTCCCTCCCCTGGCCCCACGCCCTTCCCTCATACCCTCAACGTCTGGCAGGAGAAATTGCTCCAATGGGAGCTCGCCACGTGGCGACCAGCCAGCCACATGGTGGTGCCAACACCCTGATGTGGTTGTGAGGGGGAGAAATGGAGTGGGGGAGAGGGGAGATGGAAAGAGTGGAGGGGAAGGCACAGGGGATGCAACGCATGAAAAGGAGATGCAAGAACGTGGAGGAAGGAGAGGGCAGATGGGGGCATGGAGAGGAGAGGGACGGCAGGGGCAATAACGACAGGGGATTGAGAGGGGGAACCAGCAAGGAGGGGTGGACCGACAGGTTGAACGAGCCATGTGGTTCCGTGGGATGGAAGGGCGGAGAGAGGGGAAGTGATGCCTACTGGGAGGCACGGCAGGGACATGGGAGAGTCGCAGAGGCGAATGGGAGGGGTTGTGACGGGAGAGGCCTCCGGTGGGGTGCGGTGCGTACCTGGTCGAAGGCAGTGAAGAGAGGCAAGGAGATGGGGAAGCCGCTCTCGCCCTCCTCCTCACATGCTGCTGCACTGCTCTCGCCTGACAAGTCCCCTGCGCACACAGCCGTGCCCACCACAGCACCCTGCTCCCCACCCGCCCCCATGCTTTCCGACCGTTCCCCTGCCTTCCCCCCTTCACTGCCTCCCCCCTGTCCCTGTGCCCCATCCGCCCCTTGCACCCCCTCGGCCCTATCCCCATGCGCGCCCTGCTGGGCGTGGAGGGAGAGCTGCGTGAGTGGTGCTGCCAGGGGATGGCGAGATGGCAGGGAGCGGCGCAAGTGGAGGGCCGTGCGAATACCGTGCCACAGCCTGGTGGGGCAGCGAGGGACAGGGGGAGAGGTCATGGAGAGAGGGCAGGGGGAGAGCAGGGGGAGAGAGCAGGGGGAGAGAGAAGAGAGAGAGAGAGAGTAAAGGGAAAGAGCAGGGGGAGAGAGCAGGGGGAGAGAGCAGGGGGAGAGAGCAGGGGGAGAGAGCAGGGGGAGAGAGCAGAGGGGGAAAGAGCAGGGGGAGAGAACAGAGGGAGAGAGGAGGGGGAGAGAGCAGGGGCAGGGGGCAGGGGGAAGGGGCAGGAGGGGAAGGAAGGGAGGCAGGGCAGGGGGAGAGGGCAGGAGGAGAGGGCAGGGAGGAGGGCAGGGGGGGGAGAGGGAGAAAGCATAGGGAGAGAGCAAGGAGAGTAAGTCGGCAGCAGGCCATGTGAGGGGAGTTGAGTATGAGGGTGAACCACAGGGGCGAATGCCTGAGGTACGCATGAGAAATATGGAGTGAGGTGGATGAAGTAGTCAACCAACCCAATCCACTACCCCCTTCCAGCCATCTATCCCCCCATGCATGCACACATCCGACAGCCAGATGCATGTCCGTCAGTCCGTCCATCCCGTGGCTTTCCAATCTGTGCTGCACACACCTACACTGCATCATGCCGATCTCACAAAAGCACCCCTCCTCCCCTTCCTTCCAAACCTCTCCCCCTCCCCCAAACCTCCCCTGCCATGCCATGCACCTCCTCCATTCACCTCTCCTGCGCCGCCTCAAAGCAGGGCCCCTGCCATGTCTCGTACACCCACGCAGGCGCAAACACCGCCGCCGACACCCCCCCTTCCAGCGCCGTCTGCACGCACTGCCCCGCCTTGAACCCTCTGCCCGCGCGCCCAGGCGCCTCAAAGCAGTCCACGCCCATGAAGACGTCGGCCGCACGTGCACCCGCTACGACTGCTGAGGCGCGCACCTGAGCGGGGCCCTGGAAGGGGGGGAAGTGGAGGGGGCCGGGACGGTGGAGTGGAGAGGGGGAAGGGGCGAGGATATGAGGGTGGCAATTGAAGGAAAGGCGAGTGGTAGCAGGCTGGCAGGGATGGCGGGTGTGAGTGGTGCTGCTGCGTGTGGGGCCATTGGGACGAAGAGGAGCGAGGCGAGGCGAGAGGTTGGGAGAAGAGGGGGGGAAGGGAGGGGAGAACACGACACACGACCCACACCATGGCATCATGGCACCACAGCATAATGGCATCATGAACTCATGGTATCAAGGCATCATGGCATCACGGCATCGCGGCATCAAGGCGTCATGAACGATGGCAGCATGAGCGCACCTGCCAGCAGTAGTTGGTGAAGATGCCATCGCATGCATGGAAGAAGACCTGGTTGGCGGGGGTGAGCGCGTCCTGCCACTTCAGCTCGCCCTCCTCCGTCACACTGTCGTACCTGGGAGGCAGGCAGAGTGGGGAGAGGCGGGAGGGAGAGGGGGAAGAGGGAGGGGGAAGAGGGAGGGGGAAGAGGGAGGGGGAAGATGGAGGGGAAGGGTAAGAGAAGGAGCAAAAGGGCATCCAGTATCATGATGCGAAATATGGAAGTCAGGAGTGGTGCGGGGTTGACGCGAGGTGAAAGAAAATCAACAAAACAGAAGAGCAAACGAGAGGGAAGGCGCTGTTGAGGGGAGAAGGCCGTTCAGGGCACAGGGCGACGGGAAGAGAGCCCATGGCAGTGCCCGACTGACCAGAGGACGAGGGCGTGGGGGCAGAGCACGTGCATGTGGTGGGTGAGGGCGCGCAGGAAGTGCAGGAGCGTGGGGATGCTGGCCTTCTCCACCTTGTTCTCTATGTTCACCTGGTGCCAGCCAGCGGGTGGAAATGTGTAAATGCTGTGATGTGAGGTAATGTTGAGTGAGAATGGACAGTGGTCGGAGAGATGGAGGAATGGAGGAACCGAGGGAGAAAGGAACTGTGCATGTGCAAGCAAACAGCTCGTGAGGGAAATCGCTTCATATCCGCCACACCATCTCAAGGCATCGAAAAGCAGCAGGCATCACCGATGAGCATCGGACGCCATCCCATTCATCCACCGTACCCACCGCGCCCACCACCCCACATGAATCCCGTCCACACCCATCAACCCCAATCAACCCCAATCAACCCCAATCAACCCCAATCAACCCCAATCAACCCCAATCAACCCCAATCAACCCTCACGCCCCCCGCGAGTGCACGGTACCAGCCAGCCGTGGAAGCCGTGCCAGTGCGCCAGCTCTGCGAGCTGCTGAGCGGCGAGGGCAGCGGTGGCGGGCGACGCCAGCAGCTGCCGGCACACAGCCGCGCCCTGCTCCCACTCCGTGATGAACGTGCCCAGGGACTGGGGGGGGAGGAGATGGGGGGGTTGTGCCATGCCATGCACAAGTGCATGCAGGGCATGGGGAGGCAGGAGCTCAAGCGAGCTGAGAACCAATGCCTGCTGGCCATGGTGCGGTGTGTGGAGTGCAGCAGGAGTGCCACATGGTGGGCATGGTGGGGATGCTGGGCATGGTAGTGAGCGCAGACAACACCGACACCTTGGATTGCCTTCCAATCATCCGTACTTCTGTTCCCCACTCACATCGTTTGTTTCCCATTGTCTCCATCCCTGCCCACATCCCTGCCCCCATCTTGCCCCCCTCGCGCACCTGCACGCCGTGCGTGCGGCAGCAGTTGCTCCACGCCACGGGCGGCACCGTCACCAGGTGGTGGCTGAAGTACACCCACGCGTCCACCACGTCCCACTCCCACATCCGGTACACGTCGCTGCGCGCCGAGCCCTGCGCGCATTGGTCCTCCACGTACCCCCCCATCATGTCATGGCACGCCAGCACCCGCTGCTGCCGCCGCCGCCCGCTGCGTGGGGCTCCGCCGGCGACGCTCCGCGCGCGGAAGGGTGCGGTCGCGCGGTTGTAGATTCCGCCCGTGGCAGGGCTGCCGGGGCGCCACTGGAGCAGCTGGTCGAGGGAGGTGAGGGGGCAGCAGACGGGCGCAATGGGCGGGGAGGGGGGGACGGGGGGAAGCGGAGCCGCGGAGGTGTCCGCCATGGAAGTGCGGTACTATTTTGAGGACGAATTGGAGTGGTAGGAGAAGTGTTGGGTGGGGGGAGGTGAGCGCACAAGGGGCAGTGCACCCCACGAGGGACGTCGCGCTTTCAGTCATTACTGCGCATTCATCCCAAATTCCCAGCCCTACTTCGAGCGCCTGAGGCGACGGTAACCCGGGGGTGACCCACCCTCTGTCACACCCAAGTTCCCCACATGTACACCTTGAGCCTGACAGAGGAACACAACTTTTCAGGGTGCCGGTAGACAAAAACGCGCAGGGGTTTCGCACGGCATTGTCACGGGCATGTGGGCCTTTCTCACAGGCACAAAGGTTACCGTTTTGATGTTTTGCGGGGTAGGTTTGAGTGGCATATTTTGGCGAGCCATTATTCACTTAGTTACCCTGTGTTAAATTTCGGCGCTTTCAAGCGAGAGTGAGTTTCTCTGGTGTAGCACCAGAGTGGTGGTTGGCAGGTGAGATGTTGAGTGAGTTTCTCTGGTTTGGTTTGCTCCCTTTATACTCAGTGAAATGTAGGGAGGGTTTGGAGTCGAATTTCAGTTCCAAGTGTTAGGGACGTGTTCTAAAGATTTATTACATTACACCTCGCCACTTTGTACCCCGCGAACTCCCGCGATATACGCCCGCAACCAATGGGAGGTCAGCAGAGTTCGAGGTGACCCACACGAAACCTCAAAGCTTCGGCCCGGAACCGGGGGCAAGCCAAACCTGAGCAGCCGCTTCGGCTTTGGCCGGACAACTCCGACAGTGACGGACGCTAAGAAATGCATATGCGCATGCATGGAATTGATCACCAGCTTATACAATAACATACATGCAGGGTTGTAAATAGATGACCCACACTTGATTGCGGCGTAAAATGTAATGCCAACACACCCCATGTTTTTTAGGCCCCACGGATTGTGCATGGGTTCTGGCGTACACAACATAGTCCGGTCGCACCTCATCATACATCCGTCAAAAAGGGTTGTCTGGTTAGACTGTGGGACATTACACCCCTCCCTTGCGCAACCCATCAGCCCACTTATTCAACAGCCACACGCGCGGGCGCGCAAACGACTGCACAACGTGCACAGTGTGTACAATGTCACTGATAGGCACAACATCGTGCGCCTCTGGCCTCCTCAGCTCTTGCAACTTCTCGCAACCCGTAGGCCCATCGACCCCCACCCTCTTCCATGGCCTGATGTACGCCACCTCATGCTCATCCCCACCGCCCTCGGCTTCTCGCTCCCGCTTAGCCCAGAGCAGAAAAACCAGGCTCCCATACTGCACGCCGTCCTCCCCACGATGGTACACCACACTGGAAAAGGCGGGGCTCCCGTGATGGCTCACAACTGCATGCGCGTAGCGAGCAGTCTGTTCTCCAGTGCGCACGTCCCTGGCTGGAAGCGCCACCGCTCGATGCACCTGCGGAGGGAGCAAGCAGGGGCTGTGCATCAGGCTAGACTGCGAGAAAATGCTATCTCAACCAGGCGTGGGACCAGAACGGTGTATCCTTGTGTACAGTGGGCTTGCTGGTAATGCTTACGTGGGCCCCGGCGGTGCTGTACCCGTGCCGTTGCATGACATGCTAATACTGGCTGAGGACCCCTCCACACACCGCGTTATACTCAGCCAGGAGATCATCGCCCCGCGGGTGGGTTCCCGACCCATCGCAAAACACTGCGGAACTGCTGGTCAGCGTGTTGCATTCTGTAATTCTTGCCTGCCCCACGGTGGGGGTGTGGATGGAGAAAGCAAAACATGCCTCTCATGCTCGTGTGCCGAGTGGGCCGAGCGCACAAGTGTGCCAGGAGCACGGCTCTGGCGCCTGTGCACGCAGAGTGTGCCAGGACCACGGCTCTGGTGCATATGTACGCAGAGTGTGCCAGGAGCATGGCTCTGGCGCCTGTGCACGCAGAGTGTGCCAGGAGCTCGGCTCTGGTGCCTATGCACGCAGAGTGTGCCTGGAGCACGGCTCTGGCGCCTATGCACGCAGAGTGTGCCAGGAGCACGGCTCTGGTGCTTATGCATGCAGAGTGTGCCAGGAGCACGGCTCTGGTGCCTTTCCACCCAGAGTGTGCCAGGAGCACGGCTCTGGTGCCTTTCCACCCAGAGTGTGCCAGGAGCACGGCTCTGGTGCCTTTCCACCCAGAGTGTGCCAGGAGCACGGCTCTGGTCAGTATGCACGCAGACTGTGCCAGGAGCACGGCTCTGGTGCGAATGCAAGCAAAGTGTGCCAGGAGCACGGCTCTGGTGCAAATCCACCCAGAGTGTGCCAGGAGCAAGGCTCTGGTGCCTATGCACGCAAAGTGTGCCAGGAGCACGGATCTGGCGCCTATGCATGCACAGTGAGCCAGGAGCACTCTGGCGAGAATACATGCAGAGTGTGCCATGACCACAGCTCTGGTGCCTATGCACGCAGAGTGTGCCAGGAGCACGGCAAGAACGCTATGCATGCAGAGTGTGCCAGGAGCACGGCTCTGGCGCCTATGCACGCAGAGTGTGCCAGGAGCACGGCTCTGGCGCCTATGCACGCAGAGTGTGCCAGGAGCACGGCTCTGGCGCCTATGCAGGCAGAGTGTGCCAGGAGAACGACTCTTGCGCCTATGCACTCAGAGTGTGCCAGGAGCACAGCTCTGGTGCTTATGCACGCAGAGTGTGCCAGGAGCACGGCTCTGGTGCCTCTGCACGCAGAGTGTGCCAGGAGCACGGCTCTGGTAACTATGCACGCAGAGTGTGCCAGGAGCAAAGCTCTCTTGCTTATGCACGCTGAGTGTGCCAGGAGCACAGCTCTGGCGCCTCTGCACGCAGAGTATGCCAGGACAACGGCTCACGTGCCTCTGCACAAAGAGTGTGCTAGGAGCACGGCTCTGGTGCCTATGCACGCAGAGTGTGCCAGGAGCACGGCTCTGGCGCCCATGCACGCAGAGTGTGCCAGGAGCATGGCTCTGGCGCCTATGCGCACAGAGTGTACCAGGAGCACAACTCTGGCGCCTATGCACACAGAGTGTGCCAGGAGCACGGCTCTGGCGCCTATGCGCACAGAGTATGACGGGAGCACAGCTCTGGTGCCTCTCTACGCAGAGTGTGCCAGGAGCACGGCTCTGGCGCCAATGCACGCAGAGTTTGCCAGGAGCATGGCTCTGGCACCTATGCACGCAGAATGTGCCAGAAGCACGGCTCTGGCGCCTATGAGCGCAGAGTGTGCCAGAAGCACAGCTCTGGCGCCTATGCACGCAGAGTGTGCCATGAGCACAGCTCTTTTGCCTCTGCACGCAGAGTGTGCCAGAAGCACGGCTCTGGCGCCTATTCACGCAGAGTGTGCCAGGAGCACGGCTCTGCCGCATATGCACGAAGGGTGTGCCAGGAGCACGGCTCTGACGCCTATGCACGCAGAGGGTGCCAGGAGCACCGCTCTGGCGCCTATGCATGTAGAGCATGCCAGGAGCACGGCTCTGGTGCCTATGCACGCAGAGCGTGCAAGGAGCACGGCTGTGGCGCCTATGCACGCAGAGTGTGCCAGGAGCACGGCTCTGGCGCCTATGAGCGCATAGTGTGCCAGAAGCACAGCTCTGGCGCCTATGCACGCAGAGTGTGCCAGGAGCACAGCTCTGGTGCCTATGCATGCAGAGCATGCCAGAAGCACGGCTCTGGCGCCTATGAGCGCAGAGCGTGCAAGGAGCATGGCTCTGGCGCCTATGCACGCAGAGTGTGCCAGGAGCACGGCTCTGGCGCCTATGCATGCAGAGTGTGCCAGGATCATGGCTCTGTTGCTTATGCACGCAGAGTGTGCCAGGATCACGGCTCTGTTGCTTATGCACGCAGAGTGTGCCAGGAGCACGGCTCTAGCGCCTATGCATGCAGAGCATGCCAGAAGCACGGCTCTGGCGCCTATGAGCGCAGAGCGTGCAAGGAGCACGGCTCTGGCGCCTATGCACGCAGAGTGTACCAGGAGCATGGCTCTCGCGCCTATGAGCGCAGAGTGTGCAAGGAGCACGGCTCTGGCGCCTATGCACGCAGAGTGTGACAGGAGCACAGCTCCGGCGCCTATGCACGCAGAGGGTGCCAGGAGCACGGCTCTGGTGCCTATGCATGCAGAGCGTGCCAGGAGCACCGCTTTGGTGCCTATGCGTGCAGAGCGTGCAAGGAGCACGGCTCTGGCGCCTATGCACGCAGAGTGTGCCAGGAGCATGGCTCTGGCGCCTATGCGTGCAGAGTGTGCCAGGAGCACGGCTCTTGTGCCTATGCATGCAGAGTGTGCCAGGAGCACAGCTCTGGTGGCTATGCATGCAGAGTGTGCCAGGAGCAATTGCTCTGGCGCCTATGAGCACAGAGTGTGCCAGGAGCACAGCTCTAGCGCCTATGCACGCAGAGTGCCAGGAGCACGGCAATGGCGCCTATGCAAGCAGAGTGTGCCAGGAGCACGGCTCTGGCGCTTATGCACAAAAGTGTACCAGGAGCACGGCTCTGGCGTATCTCCACGCAGAGTGTGCCAGGAGCACGGCTCTGGCGCCAATGCATGCAGAGTGTGCCAGGAGCACGGCTCTGGTGCCTATGCACGCAGAGTGTGCCAGGAGCACGGCTCTGTTGCTTATGCATGCAGAGTGTGCCAGGAGCACAGCTCTGGTGCCTATGCACGCAGAGTGTGCCAGTAGCACAGCTCTGGCGCCTATGCATGCAGAGTGTGCCAGGAGCACAGTTCTGGCGCCAATGCGCGCAGAGTGTGCCAGGAGCACGGCTCTGGTGCTTATGCACGCAAAGTGTACCAGGAATGGCTCTGTTGCCTGTGCGCGCAGAGTGTGCCAGGAGCACGGCTCTGGCGCCTATGTGCGCAGAGTGTGCCAGTAGCATGGCTCTGGTGCCTATGCACGCAGAGTGTGCCAGGAGCACGGCTCTGGTGCCTATGCATGCAGAGTGTCCCAGGAGCACGGCTCTGGAGCCTATGCACGCAGAGTGTGCCAGGAGCACGGCTCTGGCGCCTATGCACGCAGAGTGTGCCAGGAGCACGGCACTGGCGCCTATGCACGCAGAGTGTGCCAGGAGCACGGCTCTGGCGCCTATGCCCACAGAGTGTGCCAGGCTCACGGCTGTGGCGCCTATGCACGCAGAGTGTGCCAGGAGCACGGCTCTGG